AGGTTTTCAATTGAGGGAATGGAATGATTATAATTGAATTGATTTCAATATTTGAATGCATGAAAAATGTCACTTCAAAAATACAAATATGGCTAAATCCCAGAATAGTGACTGATATTATTAAACTTTTTTCTTAAAAAATGTTTATCTTAAAGATACTATTTTTCCAAAACTAAGAAAAATGACATGAATCTGAGTGATGTTTCTTCAGCAAGGCTTTCACATTAGACCATGGTTTGCTGTCAGAGGCCTTTCCTAGATGGTGGCCATTCTGGGGAGACTAGAACACACGTATAAGCTTTCTTGTTGTAAATTTATGCAGAAGAGTGCCATGCTCATTTGACATGTATCATCCTAAGGATATCAATAAAGATAAGTATATATGTTTGCCTACTGTTATTTGAAGACTGGGAAAATAAATGGAAATATTTTATTTCAAATAACAAATGCACATCATACAGATACGTAAGGAATATTTATATCTTTAATATTATGTACATTTCTATAAAAGCACATATATGTGCATGCATGTGTGTCTGTGTTTCAGTATGTCCACACGTGAAAATTTACCAATAGTTAAGGGATGTGGATGTTAACATTCCAAGTAGTTTCAAATATTCTATCACCCCATGGCCATGCGTATAGATAAATAGTAAGAACAAAACTACCCCAAAGCAGTCCTCTGTCAAAGTTATAAATATAATGAGAAATTTCACTGAACTGAATCTTGGACTCTTCTTGTTTTAGCTTCTGGCTGAGCAGGAGAACTACTTTCCAAATATTAGAGCCTTATAAGAATAAAAATAGCAGCATGGCTGAGATGTTTTTTATAATGAAATCTCTAACAAATGTTCAGTTTTTGTAAATAGTTTTAGAATTAGAAATTTATTTCTTCCTCTATACAAATTTGTTCATATGTTTGCCTGTACGTGCATTTGCAATAGCTTAGGATGCCTTATTTATTGCACTCTTTGGTTCACAGTCCAAAAACTTTACAGTCCAATGGCAAAGAATATCCTGATTCTTATTCTGTCACTGAATGCAAGGCAAGGGATGATAAAGAAAAAAAAAATCAATAAACACAATCCACTAAAAAAAATGAAAAATGTATTTAGTTGGAGCAGACTTCATATGGTTAAAGTTGAATACATTTCTTTTTTATTTTTCTTTTAGGATTAACTTAAACTTAAAAAATATAATTTTATAACTCTATATTACTCTTATGAGTCATCTCAAGCAATTTGTTAAATAAAATGGTAGAATGATCTTTCACACAAGATAGGTTATGAAATTTAAGAACAATACAAAGTACCCAATTACAAACATGTTTAACAATTACCATAGAAAAGGATACACTTTTAACACAAATAGATACAAATTCAAGGAAATTATCAGTGCATCAGAGTGAATTAATTAGATTAAGGGTTTCCTATTCTATCAGACCTAGCTGATTTAAAATTTCCTATTCTATCAGGATAGCTGATTTAAGACGGATACGGAATTGCTATTTTTCTGAGGCAAGAATTAGTGAAATGCCTAGTAGGATTATGTAAAATGAGGGGAACACAAAGAAGGATACTTGTAACTGAAATATACCTGGAAATATTACACTACAAAGACAATATTAATTTTGGATTTTGAAAAAAAATCTTATTTTACAGAAGGAAAGAGAAGTAGACTACCAAGAAATGTTAATAACAACCTATACACATGATACAGGACACACAGGATAATTTATTCTTTGTGTGCTTACAGGTGAACTGCATAACATGAAATAGAGGAAGGCATTAAAATAACCACATGGAGTGGTCTGAAAAGTGTAATTAGAATGTGGTATAATTAAAATTTGGTGCAAAAAAGGGAAGATAAACAGAAAAGTACCTATTGAGGTATTATTGTAATTACTAGGCAGACACAGTTTAGAAACTATTTTCACCTTACCTAGTTGTAATAATTACCCTGTAACGTACTTAAGAAAATGGAAGACTCAAAGACTTGAGTTGTCATATATCTCTTAAATGTAAGGACCAAAATTTATAGTTTATCTGATAGTAACTATCATACTTCCACTACCCTTCATTGATTTGAAGACCAAATTTAAAGAATTTTTGGCTTAATAAATAGGCCTTGGATATGCAATTAAATATGCTTGAAGAAGGAAAGTGATACTACAGGTAGTATTTACTGAAAGTCAGGAGATTAAATAGGGTTAGAGCCTTGAATTAAAATAAAAATAAAATAATAAAATAAAATAAAATGGAACAACTGCTATAAAGAGCACAAACTGATACAGAGAACATGAGAGGAGAATCTGAGAAAAACTGCTAAGAAGCGCATCCTAACTATAGAGGCTTATGTCAGAAGAAAGAGTGCATCAACTTGCATTCAACCTTATCTTTTTTCCCCTTTCCACCCAGTCAGGCTCCATTAAACAACGAATGAAAGTTATCAAAGAGTATTTACAATGTACCACACCATGGACCGGTGAATTCAACTTGGCAATTTTCTGATGAAGGGATGATATGGACAGCAATGTGCAGATGCTTCAGCAAGCTGATTTAAGAGAGCAATGCTGATTTTGATCTTTGGGAAGATTAGCTGTTCTGCCTTGCTTGCTAAGGCGAGCTGCCTTAGAGATTAAATAAGGAAGAGATTTTAAATTGCTGTTTTATCCATTTCCTGCCATCTGAATAAGTACATCTTAAGCTTAGAATCCACTGAGCTATATAGGTTAGCTTTCAAGTTGCATTTATTTACAACATAAAATATATAGCAATGAACTAACTATGAGAATGATAATCTAATCTGAAGGATGAAAACATTAGATGAATACAGACATTAATGCATTTTAGATGAAGTGTAGACTATATTAAAAAAAGTAATTCATGCGAAAAAAAGTGAAAGATAATTTGAACTTTGTGTCAAGATTATTTTTGGTAACATCATAATTAATAGTAACATCACAACTATTTACAAAATTAAAACAATTTTAATCTTGAAAATAACTATGTGTGTGTGGGCAATATAGAATGAAAAGTGTTAAATATATATGTACATATACGTGTATATATGTGCATATAACATTTAGCCTTCATTTTTCACAAATACTGTCAAATTAACTAAGGCCATGCAGGCTGGCAAGAGTTCCACTGTCCTTCATCCCACATTTTACACTTGTATTTCAGCTTATGAGTATATTCAAAATATGGTGTTACTTCTGGCTTTATAAAGATGATGCTGTTCAATAGGTAAGGACTCCCCCAGCTTCCTGCTTGACTCTGGCTAGATCACTGCAGACTTACTGCAACAATTTACTTCTGTCTCCTGTTGGACTTTCTCAGGGAAGGAGACATGCTCTCATGGGTTGCTTCTTCCCCCTTTGGTCAAGATCCTATGCAGGCCCACCTCTACCTGAGCTCATCTTCTTAAACCAATTATCCTTTCTTTACTATTCTCAGTTCCTTGTCTCTACTGGCCTTTTACCCATCTGCATAGAAATACACTTTCATTCTCCAAACTTACAATTAAAATGCTCCTTTTCTCATTTTCTCATTTATTTGCTTCATAATGTTTCTCATGAAAATCTCAAGAAAGAACAATTAAAATGAAAAAATATTTTAGATGAATACATCAATATTTTACATCAACTTGTGATGACTACTGCTGTGTAGATATTTATACACTTAAGTTCCATTTGGCAGGCTTTTTTGTAGCATCCAAAAGGCAAGTTAATCCTCAGTTTTAATCCATACAAGATTGTAATTATTTGAAAAATTAATGAGATTTTATATAGTTCCAGTGGAAATGTGTATACAAAATTAACTGACAGATAATTAGATGATAGATGATAGATAGATTCACTTTAGTATCCATTGTAGTACATCAAGATAAGATTTCTCACTTGTGTTCTAAACATATTTTAAAGTAGAATAATTTGGGGTATTTATTTAAAAGACCAGTTCTTCAGCCCCTCTCCAGTCTTTCTGATTCAAAATATATGAAGGTAAGTTCTAAGGATCTTAATGTTATTAGATTTCCAATCTTAAATTGTTAAACATCTGAGGACTGAGGCACAGTACTTTAGGAGTGTGTTCCTTTCTGCTAATTATCTTTGTTCCACTTCATTTTTACAAGGACATGACCATTATATACTCTTTTTTTTTTCAAATAAAGAATAGATTTATTCTGGCATCTCTTATGACCCCATATGACCTCAATATCATTCTGTCCAAAATACACCTTTTAGAAGTTCTCTTCTGAAAGGTTTGTTGGAGTATTCCTTGATTTTTTTAAAAAAAACCTTTCACTTTTAAAAGATATTTAGCAGAGTATACAATTCAATGTTTTTGTTATTTTATATTAAAACTTTGAATTTATCAGTTCTCCTACATCTGACTTCAGTTTTTACTGTTAAGCAGTTGACTCGCAGACTAAATGTCCCCCTTTGTGAAAATCTGCATCTTTTTTCTACCATTATATACTCTTAAAAGCAAAATACAATAGATTCATTTGAATCAATGACTGATTCTTAGTAGGAAAACAATCTTTAGGAATAAAAAAGAGTGGGGAGAGGTTAAGAGTTTCCCTAAATCTGTCCTGATGGATCCATGATTGTCAGGCAAAATTCTGTCTTCTAATGAGTGTTAGCTTACATGGTGAAGATTTTTACATTAGTTAGAAAGGTTAGTATACTGATTAGTATAACCCAGAGTAAGATGTGAATAAAACTGGCATTCGTGATAAATCTGTTAAGTGAAAATAAAGATGGGGGACACATCTATGGTGTATTCTATATCAGATCTTCCCACTATAACAAAATGTATTTCTTTAGAGAGGATCAGAGAGTCAGACATAACCATGTTTAAAATGTAATTATATCTCAAAGAGGTATTTTACCATTTTAGCGACCTGACAGTATGGATTATTCACACCTCTGCCAAATTTCCTTTCATGGAAAAATGAGTGAGATGCCGAAATAACTAACAGTATATGCTTCTTACCTTCTTTAAGGAAAGGATCCCTTCTCTGGTCTCTTTGTCAGTAGAGATGGAGAATATCCCAATACCATCACCATTAACGATGGAGTATGTCATGTCAGCATTTGGACCTGTGTCTGCATCATTTGCCTTGATTTTCCCAACAGCTGAACCAACTTGGGCTGATTCGGGAACATATAGCTGATAGTGCTCTGAAAAACAGTTCATATTAAACTTATTTGATGATGATAATATTCATAAAATAATCATTTTACAAGGAAAAGATATTAAAATATTTAGACCATATATTCAAATAAATGTTATATAAAGACATGTAAAACAGATTCATTTTCAGATTTTAAGTATCAGGATATTACTTAGTAATGACATATTAAATATATATAAACTTTAAAATGTATGTAAAATAGCCTACATGAAAAGAATACATCAGTATCTGAATATAAAATATTTTATCAGATATAAATTCATAAGTAGCAGAAAAATAGATGAGAGGTCAAATTTGCATGTTGATGTTGAGCAAAAACTGAATTAGTCAAGTACTAGTGCAATCACCACTTTTTTCCATCTAGCATGTGAAATTAAAATATAAAAGTATAGGAACATGTAATTCAAAGTTAAAACATAAAAGAGTATAGCCTATCTGTGAATATGATAATTATTTTGATCAATAAATGTAAGTTTAGTGAAAAGTACACATCATGACAGAGAGACCAAATACATATATATATATAATTTATTTATCATGTATACCCAGTCAACTTCTAAAAATAATTTGAAGTGGTTTTATAATAAAGTCATAAATAAAATAAATTGATTAAAATTAAAAATAATAATGACCAAGTTAAAGGATGAGAAAGTACATATAATGACTATATAAGATATGCAGTGTTTGTGATTGGCATTATTTTTGATACATTAGATCCTATAACTAACATTCAAACAGTATTAAACCAATAAATCTCATCTGATATGAAGATATATATTTTCAGTATGTCTTGATACTAAATGTTTACATTGAAAAATTTTTTAAATTCAAAGTTTGTCCTGATGCTAAAATAACTAAATACTATGAACTCCCCTTCTAGGAAATCAATATTAGGAAGCTTAATAGCCAAGCCATTACCATTATTTTATTGACAAGTTAGAAACATATCTATTAAAACTATTTATTATAGCAAATCTAAAATATCAATATAAATAACAGGAACCTTCAATTAAAATGTAATTTAATAAAAGTTTCATCCAAGACTACATTAATAGTAACATAACCAATATACATGGTCAGAATTAGACTTTATAGATAAGTGAATGAGGAGCCTCTCTGGAATAGTTTCCCTGAGGCAATATCTTGGTAGTTGTGGTATGATAATAATTTTTCTTAATGTTAATGCATCTGGTAAGTATATGGAAAATTCTAACTTGCTTCTGAAGATGTAACTATATGTTTTAAAGTGTTATATGTTGATACTAATAATTGTGTGTGACTGTGTTTATTCATTAATCAACAAAGATTTTCCCCAGTTCTCTTCTATAGATATTTGAGACACTACCTGACATCAAATATTATTTTTTTAGTTCAACAGTCTTCACCAATATAACAGTTCCAAGAAAGAGCATTCTCTTCCATGAAACACATGATTCCTTGAACTTAAACATGTGTTTTCATAAGGATCTGCCATATTGGTAAAGACTATCCCTCTTGATGTGGTTAATTGACATGGGAAAGCATGAGACCCAAACTGTAATAGGACTCTACTGTTCTTCTCACAGTTGGTTGGTGAAACAGTAGGCAGCTGATTAAAGTGATCCATAAAGACTGCATTCCCAAAGTGTAGAAAGAACTTTAGTCTCTCTTTGGCGGCAATGCTATGTAATTTTAGAAGAAGGTTTTGACAGTGACTATGTTTCCAAAATTCATGTTGAAGTACCTACTCTAAGGGCATTCAGTATCAGAAAAAAGCCATAATAATTTTCAGAATCCTTAAAAGTAGCATATTGTTCTTAGGCAGTTATATATAAAATCAGACACTGTTCTCTTACAAAAATATGTAGACAAGTTACAAAATGAATCAGAACATAGCTCCTAAAATTGGTCTGAGAAAAAGAAGCTAGAAAGTGAAGTTCCTGGTTGCTATAGTCTCTAAATTCCAGCTAAATCATAAATCTGCGTAATCTCTAAGCCTTCCAAAGGATTTTCAGCTAGCTAAAAGTGAGATGATTACACTTGTAAATAAAAGAAGTGTTAGTGCACAGAGGTAAATAAACTAATTACAGAATTAATATTCTTGTAGTATTACAAAGCAACTTATCTTTGCAAAGAAAATTTCAGTGTCTGTACAAATGGGTCATGTTTTGTGGAGAGCTGAAGTATAATGAATTGATATAAAATTGTGTGATACAAAAACTCTGTCCAATCCAGCAGAAGTGTCCATACCTTTGCACAACTGTATGTTGTGAGGAGATGGGGATACAGTTTAGCAAAGGAGAAAACTACAAGCAGCCAGCTGAATGCTCTGAGGGAAGCTCTTTTCCTGCATCCATGACTTTAGGATTTATTTTGGTCTTTAAAACCAATAAATACCACAAGGACGTGTTTAATTCTAGCTGGTCTTTTAATATTAAAACATGTTCAAATATTTTAATATGAATTCTGAATCTTTTTTTTCCCAGTCAATGAAAGATTTCCTTCAAAATGTTTATTTTTGTTTTTGAAAGGATATTTACATTTCATAGTTTTCTTCTCTGTCCCCTTCCACATATAAAATGCTACTTTGCTAGTTGAATGGAGATTTTTCTCTCTCACTTTACTTTCTTCATTTTTATATCATTGTACATATATATATATATATATATATATATATATATTTTATTTTTACTGCTTCCAAGACTGATTTTAATTAAGCATTTTCAGTCTTCTAGAATTCCTAATTTATTCCTTATATATCCTTTCACACATCATCATGGTGTCTGTTTTTTTTTTTATTTCAACAAAATGTATTTATATCAGAATTGTCAAGCCTTCTTTTCCTATTATACTGAAGCTATTTCAGGTTCTATTCTATTAAATATACTAATTAGTCCTAAAAAGAAAATTTGGTGTCTATAGTTGGCTTATCTTCAGATTTCTGGACATCTGTAAGATTATCTTCTCTTTTATTGCAGTAATTTTATATGCTCCTAACTTCAGTGATTTTGATGCAAAAGATTTTTATAACTTTCCTATCTCATAAATTACATATAATTATAACTATTATGCCTTAAAATTTAAATACCAATAGTTTGTCTTATTCCTGTTTATATCTGTTACTTGAAATTTGATGTATATGTAGCAATATCAATAAACCATTTTATGTTTAATGTCTTTGCTTTTTTAATCTTTCCCTCTTCTAACGCCATAAAAAAATCACATATTTTCCTTTAAAACATAAATAGCATTTAAGTCTTAAATTTATGAACCTTCAGGATGTTTCTCTGTTGATTAATGGCCAAAACATCTCAGTAGCTTGCAACAAGGCATATTTAACTTAATCTTGCATTATCTGAAAACTATGACTAAGCTACGACTCTGCTAGGATTGGCTCAGGAGACCAGGTGAATTTTAATTCCACAATAAGAACTGAAAAGCAGTCATTGGGAGGGTGAGATCATGAGCACAGAATGAAACCACTAAAGTACATGTAAAGCTTCTCTTCAAACATGGCTTCTAGTATGTCTGTTTATAGTCCAAATGCCAAACCATGTATGTCACTGGCAAAACACAGAGTTGAGGTATCAAGGACATATTCGGCATCCACAGGAATGCAATTCAGAAGTTATTCCAAACAATCATCACAAGCATTTCTTTGCTGAAAGCCCTGAGGCTAACTTATTTGGGTAACCTTGTAAATTTCGATTTTTAGTCCTGAAAGTCATGAAATTTCTAGTTTCTTCCTCTTCCGTGTCTATTAGAAAATAGGCCATATTTTTTTCCAAGCTCATGTCTTTCTTAGTACCTTATCAAATACAGCTAATAGCAATCAATATGCACTACAGACATTCTCTCTTCTCTTCTTTGAAAGCCGTGTGTTCATTGGGTACATTTTCTGCCTTTCAAGTTATTCCAAGTGAATGTTTTACCAAAGCAAAAAACAAAACAAAGTCATTTTCTAACTTCTTTCTAGCTTTACTTCTACTGTCTTCTTCAAACACAAACACAATTCCCCATACTTTGTTGTAGTGTAGTGGTGGTGAAAGAAAATTGCCTCTAGACAGATATAATAAATGATATCTGTCTAGAGGCAATTTTTATATTATACAATAGAATACATAATCATTTTTTTAGTCAATTGTTGCATCAACAGATAACTCGTATATTTCAATGATTTACAACCACAAAATGTATTTCTTCTCAAATTACGTAAGATCTCTTTCTTGCTTCAGCTCTGCTGAAGTCTGGTGTGCTCACGTCCACTGAGCTTCACTGTCTTCTCATTAGGCTGAAGGAGCAGCTTCTTTCCAGGTTATGTTGTTGTCAGAGTGGAGGCCAGGAAGAGGAATTGAGCCAGAACAGGCAAGCCCATTAAGTTTTCTGCTCAGATGAGTTTTAGCCATAACCTTTCACATTCCATTGACTAATAATTGATCCACGGCAATATAATTGGCCCATCTCAGATTCAGTGGGAAAATATCTTTCACTTACAGGAAAGTATGGCAGAGGGAGGGAGTCAATGAATAATTGTGATGTGCAAATAATTAAATCTACCAGGCAAGATAAAAGAGATATCAAGTACTTGAGTATGAGAAGTTAGTAAAATTCTATTATAAACAGAATTCTATGAGGAAGTAAGAAAAATGAGGGTGGGTATTGTGTAATGATTGTAATCTCTGACAAAAATACCTTAAGTAGTTATCCAGTGAGGTTCTCTGAACAGGAACTCATTCTTTTTGTTTTAACACATCTTTAACTCTCATTTTTAATGCAATTTAGTAGGTGAAAGATTTCTAGAGTAATAATTTTTTCCCCTTCTCATTAATTTTGAAGACAATTCTCTACTGTCATCTGTATTGTTATTATTGGTGAGAAGCTCATGGTATGTTAAATTGTTTTCTCTTTGGTTTTGGGATTCTACACTTTACCCTAACACATAACACATCTAGGTGATAATATTTTTCCATCCTGCTTAGGACATTTTATGATTATGTATTTAAGGATATAATATCTGTACTTA